CCCCAAAACCCCAAAACCCCAAAACCCCAAAACCCCAGAAAATTATTTACCATAAATAATTTTTGTAACAAATGGAAGAAGATAAGGAGCAGCTCACTAAGACTCTTAGCGAGCACAGCCAAGATGAGAAGAAGGAAACTCTATTTAGGAGAATGACTAAGTTTTATATGAGGCATAAAAAGACTATTTGGGGAATCACAGCTGCCTCAACGGTTATATATACATGATATAAGGTGAGGAAGAGTGGGGTTATAGATATAGATGTATAACGCATGCAAATCAACCAGTGAGTTCACTGAAGATCTTAAGGCCAGCAAGATAGAAGAGGTTATTATTATGGGCATTACCCTAGCATTTAAAAGCAAGGAGACCCATACTTGGAGTTTGAGTGAGAGAAGTTTCTATTCTGATGAAGTTCTCCTGAAGCTACTTGAAGACTCAAACACTAAGTACTCGTGTCTACCTATTTCAGATGTCACTTTAGGAGTGGTGATGGTTAATATTATACTCCCATTCTGGTTTGTAAAATGGTTTTTCAATAAGCTAGTTCCTCCCACAGAAATCAAGAGAGTCCAAAGCCTTCAGAATGACGGAGTTACCTTTAGTGATATTGGAGGAAATGAGGATGCAAAGAGGTCTCTTCAGGACATTGCCAAGTACCTTGGAACTCCAGAGAAGTACAAGAGCTTAGGTATCAGACTCCCTAAAGGAATTCTCTTATATGGCCCTCCTGGGACTGGAAAGACCTTATTAGCGAAAGCCTTTGCTAATGAGTGCCGTGTTCACTTCCTTTACGCATCAGGAGCTGACTTCGTCGAGATTTATGTAGGTGTCGGACCTAAAAAGATCAGGGAGATGTTTAAGCAAGCGAGAAGTCTCGGAAAATGTGTCATTTTTATCGACGAAATTGATTCTTTGGGATACAAGAGAGGATCAGGGACTAATATAGAATTTGACAACACTCTTAATCAACTCTTAACTGAGATGGATGGTTTCAATGGCTCCGAAGGTTTCACTGTGATAGGTGCCACAAATCAACCGGAGAGGATCGACCCAGCTCTGCTCAGGCCAGGTAGATTTGACAGGAAAATTGAGATCGAGGTACAACTTTGCCATGTTCATTTACTGATATTATTTTAGGTCCCAGATTTGGACACTAGAAAAGACATCCTCAAGATTCATCTGAGAAAGAAGCGGTTCTTTGATGAGGAAGTAATAGCTGAGATTGCAGAGAACACAGAAGGGCTCAATGGATCAGAGCTCGAGAATATCGCTAACGAGGCCGCTTTTGACGCACTGAATAATAACTCAGAGGTAAAATTAGCGGATTTTGAAATTCTTGGGTGTCATTTTGTTCAAAATCAATGGAGATGTTTTATAAAATTGTTCTGACCGTTGGTATAGGTGATCCAAAGAGGTACGACAAAAAATGATTAAAATGCATATTTAATGGTTGAGAAATTCTGCAATATTGTAGAGAATATTTCTATTCTACCAAATTTGTGTTTGAACCTTGACAATTCTATAGGCAATCTGATGAATGCAATGGAAAAGATATTTGAACAGAAAAAATCTATTGAGCAGATGAATGAAGGCGAGATGCTGTTATTCAACAATCCGTTCATTAAGCCAAAAGTTATTTCAAAATAATTTCCCAGAAGTATTTCAATATTGAGTAATTTCAACCACTGGTGCTTATTTCGGGGTTTTGGGGTTTTGGGGTTTTGGGGTTTTGGGGTTTTGGGGTTTTGGGG